ATATATATGTATATATATCAAAGTATACTGTTTTTATCAATTTCTGAATTAATCTAATTGTGAATTATTTTACAAATGCCACACAGTCCGGCTCGGGGACTGGTATTGCACTAAAATTGGATAAGGAATTAGTCAACATGCTCGAAGAGCGGCTGTTGCAATCTTTAAACACTTACCCTGTGAAGCGGCTACGAAAGGTATGACTGAAAGATAGAAAGAGTACGTATATGTGTGTATGCATGTAATAATGTATGTATGTATGGATGTATGTTTGTGTGTATGCATGTATTATGTATGTGTCTGTTAAATGCATGGATTGTGGATGTATCTATTTGACTCATTTCTTTGGCATGTGTTTGTATATATGAGTGCTCGAGTCAAATGCGTGAACTATTTTATCTATATGCGCGCATCAATGCAAGCTGTCTGTATGTACAAGCTGTCGCAAGCTGTCTGTATGTACATGGATTTATGCACATTTCTGAATTATTGTTCCCTGAAAGTGTGGGTTTTCTCTATGGTTTCCCGAACAAATGGCTCCATTTGTCACGTCAAAAAAAGATACCAGAAATAATTGTATTTAAAACACAGGCGTATCTGCCTGTCGTGTCTAGGTTGTCTAGGCAACATAGGCGTGTGCATATTTGAAGTTTTCAATCTTTGAAAGCCCAAAATTGACATTTGTGCGTGTAGTCTCCGACCTGATTTTGGAAGCGTGACATTCACGAGTTTTGTATTATTTCTGGTCCAATTCACAGGAATTAAGAGGGGTTGGTCCTAAACGAGCCGATTTAATTATAGAAGAAAGGAGCACCGGACCCTACGTTACTGTAAGTGCCACTAATACGCACACATCTCTCGTTTGTATGTTTATCTAGAAGCATACACGGCATGTGAACTTGAGACTAAACGAGAAAAAAAATCATATCAAATATAAACGTCAAGCAAACTGTCGCTTACATTATGTTTGTATGCAAGAAACTTTTCATGAACACACACACACACACACACATACACACATATATATATATATATATTTATATATCAATATAAATATATATATTTAAATATATATATAAATATGTATAAACATACACATATGTACATACATATATATATATACATATATATATATATATATGTATGTATATATTTATATATAAATATATATATATATATATATGTATATATGTATATATGTATATATATATATGTATATATGTATATATATATATAGATATTTAGATATATATATATTTCTGCTATGTGTACGACCCAATGCTGGTCGTAGTCACTCGCTTTGACCTTTCTTGCACTCTTTATTGTATCCAACTTTGACAACTATTGAGTTGTACTTATGGTATGGACTACTACTGATGAATTTGACTTCCACGCTCGCTGATGGTGTGCAGCTCGACGACTGCAAGGAGAGGCTCAAGCTCAGTGACAAGATTTTCACAGCACTTGTCAAAGTGAGTAATCGCACACCCGACGTATATATATATATATATCAGCATAGTATGACAACACTCGTTCACTGCTGTACTGTCATCACCGTACATCACGTCGTGAGCATGGTGATTTCTACCTACATACCATTCAGCTTGCACGGCCACATTGGACCACGACTATTCTCTCCTTAGAATGCCATAGTACTGGTCTCGACAAGCAATTATCTATTGGATGTTTGTAAGTCTATGGTGCTTTATGGTATACAACTTTGTTTTGGTTGACGTTTTTCTGGGTCTAAACCAGCCGTATATCAACTGACACTTTAGGTGACCAGTTCCTTCACATAGTCCACCTCACAGGTGCTCAGATATATACCTAGGTTGCCAAGCTTTTGCTCTTCTGCCTGCATACAACTATCCCCAACCCACAAATGAAGCCATGCACACCACCCTCTATTACAATACCTACACTAATACTGGTCTACGGGTAGAATTTACAAGTATATATTGAACAATACAATATTAGTAAAGTGTGCTGTATGCGCTGGTATCATAGACTGCGTCTACTCGTACTTGTTATCGAGCACAGAATACAATAGATTCCACCATAAACAGACGTCAGTACATTTGTATAACATTCTTCCACAAGTAGAAGAAATGCAGAAGATATAATTTTGCTTTAGATCATTTAGGTCCTTGAATTCTGATATATCTACCAATTCATAGCATTAGGGTCTATTCAGTACTCTGTCTCCCATGCTGTACATTGATGATCCCTGCGAATATACCACTTTCATAGTGTTTCATCATAAATGGTCAATTGGTGCGTATATACTTCAGCTCTGACAAGGATTCTTGTTTCCAACTATTTTTTTAACACCCTTGAGCTACCGGGTTCTTCCGGTGTTATACTAAACTCAGCGTCCCGTCCATATGTTCGGGGCTGGGGGAGACTGCATTCAACTTCATATACGTTTGGCAAAGCTTTACTGACCTTACCGGTTTGTTGTACATCCTTATATGTCCGTAGGAAAACGTAACGAACTTCATAAGCCTGGTACACTGAGCTCTGCCGAGAGAACGGTCACATTCTCTACATCTGCCAGTTGTCTACGTTTTCGAGGTATATCAGTTGATGTATAGCATTTTGGCAAATCCAACAGTTCGGTACACGTAAAAATGCCGATAAAAGATACATAACATCAATGGGTATATAGGAGGTCAGTATTTGGCCAACAAACGGTCTCAATTTAAATACGAAACCATTATCAACTATAACGGCGTTGGCAAAAACAAATTATATGCCCCTCATACGTGTAAACAATTAAATGACTAAAAGTAAAACGCCAAAGAATCCTTGGGTATGCGAAGTATATGTTTATGTGGTAGACATTGCGTACGTAACTTTGCATCTGAATGAACTGCTCTACGAAAGTTTTATGTATCTTATTTATACGTGAATGTATTATCATATTTACACATATATATATATTTATATACATATATATATATATATATATATATATATATATATGTGTGTGTGTGTGTAT